GCCTAATGGCTGCGCTTCCTCTTGTCCAGAGTAGAAATCAGATTCGGGACTTTGGATCTAATACTGTTGGTTTAATTAGTGTGCCCCCTTTTTTCCCATGGAGAAGAACCTTGAAATCATAGCCTGCCGGTTGGTTGGAAAGAGGTGCTTACATTTCCTGTTGTTTCAGTCCTGGGGAGACTCTTAAGTGCCCGTGTCTGAGTCATGTTGAAATCCACATGCAGTGTGGCATACTGGGAATGGTGCTTTGGGCACTGGGCACTTGAAGGTGAAGGGTGGTCTTTTAGTGGTTTGCATAGATGTTTGCATATCACATTCTTTCTCTTCTGTTAACTTGGAACTGTTTTCTTTTATCTCCCTCTGCTGGTAGACTAGGAAAACTATCATAAGTAGGAGATAACTGGAGTTGGTTGAGATGTCTTAGTTGTAATCTTCATACTCCCAGTAAAACTCTCAAACATAACTGTTGCCCCCAAGCCCTCATCAGTACAGTTCTACAGCAGAGAAAGCTAACTTTTGAGTTAGGTGAAACAGTGAAATCTAGGCTTTTTATTTCTTTAACACTTCATTACTTTTTTGTTTGAAAAATTAAGTGTAACACTGTTTTGTAGGATAAGGTTTTCCTTTGACTGGCCTGGAATTCATTATATAGATCAGGTTGGCCTTGAAGTGGTGTGATTCTCCTGCTTTGTACTCTCAAGTGCTGGGAGTATAGACATGTACCAAAGTACACAGCTAGTATGGTGCAAGTTTTTGTGATACCTACAATAGTTGTGAATTGTGTATTGAGAACAAACGTTTTTGAGTATAGACTGCTTTATACTTTTGCTATGAGTGATTATGCTGTGTACCACAAACAGATGCATCTAAAATTTCAAAAGCACCTTTATTCATTTGAATGGGACTATTCCATTGTGTGAGTCTGGGCCCAGTGGAGTAGGAGTCAGATTGAGACATTTCTCAGAGTAACCGAACTGCATTGTCCTCAGAGAATTGAGATTCCTTTTAAGGGTACTGCTTTTAGGAATGTAGAAATCTGTTAAATACTCTTGTTTCTTCAATAGGTCATTTTGCTTCTTCCACTGTGGCACCACCACCACCACCTCCTCCCCCTCCCCCTCCCCCTCCTCTGCCTCCCCCAGCAT